TGAAGAGGAGGAGGAGGAGGAGGAGGAGGAGGAGGAGGAGGAAGCACCGCCGGGCGCTGAGGCAGCTGCTGGCCGGGCTGGTGCTGGGGGTGCTGAGAGAGAAAGAGAGCCAGAGAGCCGCTTCCTTGGAAGAGGCGGCAGGAGCAGCAGCTGCTGTTGGTGGCTTGGAGGCACTCTTCGAGGATGGGCAGGGAGCAAACTCCACTCTCAGGCATCGCTCAGCTGCGGCTCGGGAAAAAGTGCCAGCAGCGCGCCTCGTTCGCCAGCTCTCTCCCAAGAACTGCAGCTGGCTGGGTGGCAGGCTGCAGTTACGGATGGAGGGTGCAAGAGGCACTGTCTTGGGAGAGAGCTGGCAAGCGAGGTGAGGCTTTTTTTTGACTCTTGACAGCAGAGGCCGCGTGGGCGCTTCAGGGGGGCAGGCAAGGCAGCGGCCACAATCATCTGGCGGGCCGCAAATGGCCCCCAGGCTGCATGTTTGATACCCCTGATTTATAGTAAATTGGTGAGGCAGGACATAGGACAAACACTGAGTATCCAGAATACTACTAGCATGCCAAAAGGTTGTGACAGATAATCCACAAAGGGCAGTATTCATCAAAGATGGCAGATAACTCTTGTAGTAGGACATGGGGACTGAGGAAAAGGGAGGCCCTCTTGAAAAAAGAACTGAAATATTACCTGCCATATACCTGACCAATTATATGCATTTAAATGCAAAGACATTATATAGAAAAGCAAAGACAGAATTATGGTGAACTACTTTGAAACAGTGGGATGTGGTGGAGCTGCGGGTTAATCCGCAGAAGCCTATGTGCTGCAAGGGCAGAAGACCAGCAGTCGTAAGATCAAATCCACGTGATGGAGTGAGCTCCCGTCGCTTGTCCCAGCTCCTGCCAACCTAACAGTTTGAAAGAATGTAAAAATGCAAGTAGATAAATAAGTAGCACCATGGTGGGAAGGTAACAGCAGTCCGTGTCTAGTCGTGCTGGCCACGTGACCACAGAAACTGTCCACGGACAAACACTGGCTCTGTGGCTTGGAAACGGGGATGAGCACCACCCCCTAGAGTCGGACATAACTGGACTAAATGTCAAGGGGAACCTTTACCTTTACATACTTTGAAACAAGACTGTAAACGCATAAATTGAATTCCTTGTAACTGTTATGAAAACTCTGCATCCCACTACTTCTGTGTCCCACAATTTGCCCCTGGCGAGGCCCTGTGACTTGGAGGAGTACCACTAATGCACACATTATCAAGAGAGTGAGGCTTACTGGCATGTTCTTGGAAGTTCCTTTGCATATTTCATACAATATGTCTGCAGAGGGCTATAAAAATGTTGGATCACAAAACATCAAAATACATTTTATGTAATATTTTTACATAGAGGTTTCTTTTTAAAAGAAGAAATATTTTCAACAAGGTTGCCCAAAATCTGATTACTTAGTGCAACAAATGGCACTACGAGTATGCCCATTTAATCAATGTGAATTTGGTGAGTCACCTCTGTAAGTTCCATTGATTCAAATCATTAAGTTACAGAAGAGTAGACTTAGTTGAATCAGTGGGATTTATGGAGGAGTTGATACACCAAATCCCCACTGATTCAGTGGGCATGTGCTAGTGCAATTTATAAATTGCCTTTCAAAGTAGGAATGATCTGATTATGGAATGGTAGCAGGCTGATTTTCCTAACTAGGATTTGAAAAGATCAAGGTGTACCAAGATGTACTGAAAAAGCTTTGGGACCTTGGAATAATAAAGAAGATTATAAATGCAATTTAACAATATCTCCACACAGACTTTTTAAAAAGTATGGTAGACCTTCATCTCTTTGCAAAAGGTACAGGAGTGTGGGATTCAAAAATCAGATCTCTCTTTTGAAAAGGCTGGTGTACACTTGCAGATATAGATGAGAAGGTTGTTTTGTGTTAATAGAAATTGGTCTCTCAGCCTCTTTGTACGTATACACAGTTACTTTGTGGGTTTTCAATATCATTTTTTTTTCCTTTAAAAAAGAGAATATATTAAATATAGGGCTAGGAGCCTGGGATCCTCCTCTTCAGCACAAGGGGACTGGACAGTTCCACTAACATTCTAATGCCATCTCTCTTCATAATCCTGTAAGCGGAGACTGTTCGTATAGGTATGAAAGCTTCCCTTTCCACAGGGAGGTGATGGCTAACATGCCTTCTTCAGCAAGTCAGAAGAAAATCGGACCAATTGCACAATAGTCCTTACATTTTTCCTTTGCCTTAAAAAAAAAGCAACAACTGAAGTCCCAAAGATCCTCCTGGGCTTCACATGCACACAATATTCTATTGGATATCTCAAGTATTCCCCATGGTCTTGCCTAGAGATGATAGCATTGTTCTTACCCTGTATTCTCATAGGTATGGAAACTCCTTGAGTATGCGGGGTCTAGCCCACAATTAAAAAAGAGTTGGGGGTAATCTAAAGCCTGTCTTACAACCCTCTTCAGGCATATGGTGGGTTAATCAGGATCAGCTCTAGTATTATGCAGAATGAGGTGGCTGCCTCAGGGTGTAAATGTTGGGTGTAATGAAATGGTGGCAAATGATTAGTTTTGAATGTTGCTGTGGTGTTTTTTGCGGAGGGATTTTACTGAGGGATTTCTGTCTGTTGTGCCAAAATAACTTATCTGTGTTTAAATATTGTGCACTTTGACTTGGGTGGAGCATCATTATCAGGCAACAACATGTCCTACACTCACACTGGAGCAGCATTCATGACTTCCCTAGCCATGTACAAAGTTTATCATGGAACACTTTTTTGTATTTTTACTGCTAACTATTGAAAAATTCAGCTGGATGTATGGTATTGGGCATATATGTGGGCTCCAACAGGCATGAATCCTTGATCTGTGGTTGTTTAATACCTTCTGTCATGTGATGGACAGTAGCATACATGAACTAGAGTTCCTATCCCCACTCAGCAACAATGCATACTAGACTGCCCTGGGCCAGTAATGGTCTCGAGCCTAAGCAAACCAATGATCTAAGGATAAAATAAAGGAGGTAGGAAACATATATGCCTCCTTGACTTGACTGGGGTAAGGGCAGTATGTAAATGTCTTATCCTTAAGTGAATATGGAAAGCAACTCAGCACAAGAAGAGCTAAGAGGGAGACTAAATAACTCTGTATTTTTCTGACACAAGGAAATGATACAGTAATTACTGAAACATTAAGGCAAAATGAGGCAAGTTGATTTATTTTGCAACTTGTTACTTTAGTTCTCTGCTTTGACATGCTTTAATCTTGTCTACATTTCGGATGCTTTGTGGTACATTGTTATTTGAACTTCATGCAAAAGGTCATTCAGCTGGAAAAATTAGCAGAGACCAGACTCCACTTGTTGACAACTTTGTCATCACAGAGGTTTGGTGTGGGAGAATAATCAAAATGGCATTGTATGCCAGCTTTTACTTCTATTTGTCCATTTTGTTTCAGATAGGAAAGGAACACGCAGGCCTAAAGGCTGTGACTGAGATCCTGCAAGATATCCAGTATAAGGTAAAACGTGGTTTAAGAGGGAAGAAGAGAGACTTATTTCACTGACTAATTTTTGGTTGGGTATTATGTGGACGAGATGGTTGGACAGTGTCATCGCAGCTACCAACACAAATTTGACCAAACTCTGGGAGGCAGTGGAAGACATTTAATTGAATTTAGGCAAATATAAAGTCCTAAACAAGGAATGGAAAATATGTGGTTCACCAGACTACAACTGCCATCCTGTATCATGGACTCTGATGGTCACAGCTGATGAGAGCTGAAGCCCAGTGTTTGGAGGGCTTCACATTCTCCACAATGTTAATGATCTGTAACCTGGATTTTAGTCTGTTTCCTCCTGTACTATTTCACCTGCCTACTGGATTTGGCATCGCAGACTTTGTGCTGCATCTCACATCCTTTGGTTGGTTATAGCCGCCTTCTGCACTCTAGAACCAGAACTGTGGATTTTAGTCTTTGGAAAGGTTTGATTATCTCCCTCCTTGGTATGAGTTAACTGTCACAGACTTTGAAAAAATACCACCACCAAACTCCTAGCTTTTTGTCCATGAGAATTTTCTGTTTTCCAAGTGCTGCTTAGTTTTAATTTTGTTTCAGCTGCCTTTTTATGTTATTCTGCCCAACCCCGAGATTTCATGTTAGGCACTTCCGTATCCTAATATAGACTAATCCCTTTGTTTGTTTGTTTTTGCATAAGCTTTTGTGGACTGCAGCCCACAGAATCTAGTGCATGAATTACAGGTTGCATGGAGTGATATAAAAAAAACTTGGGTGGGATGCTGTAAGGAGGAATTGACAAAAAAGTCTTTCATTAACTGTCATCATTAACAAATATTAAAGAAGTAGCAGTAGTAATTCATGCGAAAGGCTGGACTGGATGAATCCCAAGCTAGAATTAAGATTGCTGGAAGAAATATCAACAACCTCAGATATGCAGATGATACCACTCTGGTGGCAGAAAGTGAGGAGGAATTAAAGAACATTTTAATGAGGGTGAAAGAGGAGAGCGGAAAGCATGGTCTGAAGTTCAACATCAAAAAAACTAAGATCATGGCCACTGGTCCCATCACCTCCTGGCAAATAGAAGGGGAAGATATGAAGGCAGTGACAGATTTTACTTTCTTGGGCTCCATAATCACTGCAGATGGGGACAGCAGCCACAAAATTAAAAGACCCCTGATTCTTGGGAGGAAAGCGATGACAAACCTAGACAGCATCTTAAAAAGCAGAGACATCACCTTGCCAACAAAGGTCTGCATAGTCAAAGCTATTGAAGTGAGCTATTGAAGTTTGGAAGTGAGAGCTGGACCATAAAGAAGGTTGACCACTGAAGAATTGATGCTTTTGAATTGTGGTGCTGGAGGAGGCTCTTGAGAGTCCCCTGGACTGCAAGGAGAACAAACCATTCTGAAGGAAATCAACCCTGAGAGCTCACTGGAAGGACAGATTCTAAAGCCGAGGCTCCAATACTTTGGCCATCTCATGAGAAGAGAAGACTCCCTGGAAAAGACCCTGATGTTGGGAAAGTGTGAAGGCAAGAGGAGAAGGGGACGACAGAGGACGAGATGGATGGACAGTGTCATCGAAGCTACCAACATGAATTTGACCAAACTCCGGAAGGAAGTAGAAGACAGGAGGGCATGGCTTGCTCTGGTCCATGGGGTCATGAAGAGTCGGACACAACGACGAAACAACAGGCAGTAATAATGATGACATCAATGCAAGAAGTCAGTCAAGTAAAATGTTCCAATATATATTCACAGTTGAAAAGGACAAAAAAATATAAGTAAGACAAAAAATTACTTACAATGCTGGTATAAATAATAAAAAGTATTTTTGTATCACTGCCATTTCTTGCTAACAGTTATTTTACTGGTGGCAAAGCAAAATAGCAAAATACTACAGGATTACATATGTTGACCAGAATCTTATCATTTGTGCCAGCCCAAGGTAAACCATGTAAATCACAGTGTTGAATTGCTACTAGCTAATGTTGAATTTTTCATTGTGCACCAAGTCATGCAAGTGGCGCAGGATGAGCAAGGGAAGCACTGACTCTACAACTTTCATGCTGGCATATAGATATAACAGGATTTTGCCCAGTAAATATTTAATATGCAACTTTTTTAAAAAATCATGTTTTACAGTTCCCTGTAATACCTGTTGTTTCCCCTCTTTTTACTTCATAGTTTTTTCCCCTGTAAATCAGATGGCAATGTATCACTTGTGGTGGTATTATCGTAGATCTATACTGCTTTGCCATCAATAAAAACCTGTTGACAAGAAACTAGAGTAATCCAAGATAGCACTTGATGTTTGTACCAGCAATGTAAGTGGCCATTTTCCATGGTTCTTCTGTCCCTATTTATTCTGCAGCAATTCTTTAGGGTAGGTTTGACTGTATCATAGTGGCCGGCCAAAGATTATTCAGCAAGCGTTATTAACAGAGTAAGAATTGATCTTGACTCTCCTTCTTCCAAAACCTTTCTGTAAACTTTGCTATTTTGGACCATTCTGATCACTGCGTACTGTATACATGGTGCTGTGTGGTAGGAAAAACAATAATCAATGTGCTTATATTGCAAAATGTGCACAATTTGAAATGTGTACTTAATTTGAATGATATGCTAATCTGCAAAACATGCTAATAATATGTAGATTGCGCCACCTGGAATTGGGCAACTGGAATGTGACAATCATCCTTTTGTGTGGAGAAAAATGGCCAGTTGCCAAGATAAAATTAAGGAAGATTATATTATTACTGGACAATAAGCGCTCTTGTTTTTATGGCTTTTAGTATTAAGAGTGGGGGATTTGGGTATCAATTTGGCATATTTTTTGTTTGGAATGAGATACATGATGATAGTTTCCATAAGCCATAATACTCTTAAATTGCTCCTTTTTCTCTTAAGACCTAGAGACAATTTTGATTTCTGCTAAATTTTCAGGGAATGTCCAAGACAATACCGTGTTTTAATCCCAACACACTTTTACCAGGTAAGTGTTTATTGCTGTGTCACAAAAACTTAACTGTGCAATGTATATGTATGGTTAAGTTTCACTGCAGTCTTAAATGGTGTACCTCTGCTTCTGTATAAATCCTTTGAGGAGCTTTCACTCTGAATAACAGTTTTAACTTAAATGGATTTCTAGTAAAGATAGCTTTGAACAGGGTATATGCCATAGAAGCAGCCGTGATGATGAATGGTGTCTGTCAGCACAGTATGTATTGAGTACCCACTGGGTAACATTTGTATTCTCAACAGCAATCAGTCATAGCTTTCAAAATACTTGTCTCTGCTTTATGTCAAGGTGTAATTCCATCAGAATTTAGGCAGCTGGGATAAATACCCACTGGCAATTAGAGCTTGTTATAGATTGTTTATGTAAAGTATTTCCTGAATGTTTTACAAAATTTACTGTGTGTTTGTCCATGTCCAAGTTAAGTTGTTGGTCTCCTCATGTTGTGCAGCCCATGCTCAAAAGCCACCCATACCATTACTGTGAATCAGCAAGGACAGTAACTTAGCTTTCCAGATTAAATGGCTGTTTCGCAGATGCAGTCGGGAAATAAATATATACAGTTGGTAACAGTGGCAAACACCAAGGGCTTGATTAGGTGGTCCCCCCCTGCCCCACACCTCTCTCCCTTTTTATAGCACAGACTAGAGTGTTTACTTTCACATTGTGCTAGGCACAGTCTTGCACAGAAGGCTAGAAAGCAGTGTGCAGAAATGCTTCATGCTATTTTTGGGCAATGGAATTGGGAGGTCATGTTTTCCAGATTCATTCAAGGAAGGAGAAATTCTCTCAACAGCTTATCAAAGGTAAAGCTGACCATGATCAAGACAAGTTTATTTTTCTTCTCTCTCTCTCTCTCTGTCTTTTGCATTGTCACTGTGAGGCGCAGCGTAAGGATCTGCAGTTATAGCCAGCACATAATCCTGTCTTGTGGCTTAGTGGTGGGAAAGCGAGTGCACCACATCCCAAAAAATGAAACAAAAAAATTCTATAGTGCCCTCTTGTTGCTAGAGGAGTAAGAAAAGCACTGTCTTGTAATGCTGCTAAGAAAAATGCATTCCAAGTAACTTTTTCTCTGCCCCAGTCTTCATTTTTAGGCTCCAGATCTTTCCCAGCTACACTTTGGAGGGGTTATTATAGAGAGATACCCAGGGTTGTATACTGGATAGAGTAACAGACTAGGACTCAGGAGACATGAGTTTGAATCCTTGCTTGGCTATGGAAACTCACTGGTGGAGTGGAAACTGGTAGAACCACTCCTTAAACATCTCATGTACCTTGGAAGCTCTATTAGGGTTGCTATAAGTTGGTTCCAACATGTTGGCACATAACACACACATATTATAGAAAACATTTTTTTTGTTTTACAGTGACTGTGTCTGTTCTGGTTGGGAGATTTAGGGCAGTGTATGCCAAAAAGTAGTACTGAATTATGCCCTTATTACAAGAAATAAAAATAAAATATTATTAATATAACCTTCAAAGAGTTTTGTGACAAGAGGTTATCATTATTTATTTTGGGCACATTTTTGTCAACTATATCCTGCTTCTTTAGATTGCACAGGACAGTTTGCCTAGGCAAGCCAACATTTGTGCAAACATGCAGAGGAGGGAAGAATGAAATATAATGGACATGGAAAACATTATTTGGTCATTGCTCATGCAGCATGTGGATAACCGGCATAAGTCATTAAGAAGTCTTTGGGAGTGATAGATAGACATTTAGTAGTCACTGTTAGGAGCCTTTCAAAGATCATGGGCATGTGACAAGCACAGGTAAGCAGACTAGCACATATTAACTATGGAGAGAAGTCTTTGTTTAAGGTAAGTTTAATGGCAGAATTTGGGGCACAGTTAATCCAGAGGTAGAAGGAAAAGAATGTGGAATTGTCCAGACAATTCTCATAAAATTTAAAATGATTAGATAGTAATGTAGGCAAAACTCCAACAATGAGGTGGTTGACAGATTAAAAGCCCCCATCAAACCGATATAACCTTTTAAATTACTTTGAAACTGATTTGCTTAATTTCAGACCCACTGTTACGAGATTATTGGGTGTATGAAGGCTCCCTCACGGTTCCACCCTGCAGTGAAGGTGTTACTTGGATCTTATTTAGATATCCTTTAACTGTATCCCAACTTCAGGTGAGAACTCTGCTTATAATAATGTAAGAATATAATTCTCAGTGAAAGGTTATGGTGTGCAAATATATTACAGGGCACTGCACTTCTTTTATGCCAAAGAGCTCACTAAATCATTTGGTACATGGCTTTTGAAATAAAGGCTAAATCCTTTGTGTCACGGAAAGCAATGGAAAGGTCAGAAATGAGAAAATGCTTTACTATTTATCCTGTGTATTAAGGGAAAATGGATTTACCAGAAAATAATACAGAAGATAAAAATATCACTGAGGAAAAAAAATCTGCAGTTCATTGAAATACGTCTTTAAGTAATCACTGCTATGCATATGAACAGAGGCACACAATAGCTCTCCTCATTTATTCAGGATATGAATACAGAATGCCTGGAGGAGTTCTGAGGAATCTGCCAGCTAGGCCCAATCGAGGTATCAGTTGTATTCCCTTACTCTATTCCTTGGCTACTGAAGGGGCCAATGCTTGTATGGCTTCTTCCATTGGAATGTGAGCAGTGATGTGAAGCAACTCTCCTTGCCACAGGATATGGTGATGGTATCTGGCCTAGATGCCTTTAAAAGGGAATTGGACAGATTCCTGGAGGAAAAGCCCATCACAGGTTACAAGCCTTGATGGGGATGTGTAATTTCCAGGCTTAAAAGGAAGGTACCTCAAAATGCCAGATGCAGAGAAAGGGTATCAGGAGACAGATACCTAGTTGTCTCATGTGCTCCCAGAGGCATCTGGTGGGGCCACTGTGAGATACAGGAAGCTGGACTAGATGGGGCCTTGGCCTGATCCTCAGGAATCATCATATGTTCTTATGTTCTTAATGTTTCGTTATTTCCAACACAAAATTGGTTCATTCTTGGTAAGGCACTGCCAGACATTTTGTTAGGTGATGTGAAGCAATCAGCTCAAATGGTAGTTTCTGGGTGTCAGAAAACCCCAAAAATGTTGGAGAAGGGAACTCTGGGCCAGGTGACCTGCCTACACCACCCAATGCCTTTAGGTGTAGTGAAATATGCTGTTCCATAGGCAGTGCTGAAGACAGATTTAACTGTCAGCACATACAGCTTTTGTACATAGAATGGAAGAGGGCATTGCTTTATTCTTTGGGCACAAATTGTTTTAAAAAGCCGACAAGAGACCCACTCTCAGTCTCTTGAAGCAGCAGCAAGTGGAAGCAGGTAAGGATAGCCGTTCATCTCACTACTTCTTACACTCTAGCACTATTCAGAAATACTGGAACTGGGAGAGGACCATTTTATTTATCCTATTTCTACCTGCTTATGTCTGTGGAAACCTTTGGAGTATGCTAGAGAAACTACTTCTTCCAAAATTCGAATACCATCAAACTATTAGTGCCGTTTCAGTTCTTTGAAGAGTGTCATCTTTCTATACAATACTCAAGCTCCTGTCTGCACTTCGCTTCTTAGGGATGCTTTGGTTTCTAATGTGTTTGTTTTTGAATTCCAGTTACTGTGTATAAAACTAATTGCCATCTTCACAATATGAAGACTTCTTTTTAAGTCCTCTTCCAAGAACCTTCTAATCCCATACCTCAATTCCTTCTTTTCATCTTTTCAGTATAAGCTGCACCATTCTGCTTTTCAAAGCTGAAAAGAAAACAATGTGGATTTCAAAACACTACTGCAAAGAACAAAAGTCTTAGCAACAGATTTCTGGTTGTTCATCAAATAAGCAAACATCATGTAAGAAGTCAGTTTTGACTGCTTCAAAGTACATGGTGCTAGAAACCACAACAATAGTTTCTCATCTGAAATGCTATTGAGAAATGTAACCTTGGAAGTTGTTATTAAAGCATCAGTTCTGTCAAAGCCCATCAAATGTGTTAGTCTGAGGGAAAAAAAATCTTGAGTTGAATTTGGTTTTACAGTGGAGCTTGGAGCATCATTTTTAAGAAAAGTAAATATCATGACATTCTGAAACCATCTGTAACTTAGAAATGGTAAGATGATGACCAATCAACCAAACAATCACCAAATAAAAGCAGGCTTAATGGTGGCTTGAGGAACTGCAGAACCTTATCCTAGGATAAGCAAAAACCTTTTTCTTATAAGGTAGCTCTGTTTCTAACCATGGGTGCAATCAGATAGCTGGAAGGGTCTGTGTCCAATCACACTGGAAAAGGGTGACTTTGCAGGGAGTGATGTCTGCTGGGGAATCACTCCAGCTTGGCCACAAAAAGCTGTAGCCCTATGGCTGGACCCAAAAGGCATGGCGTGGATGCGGGTTGGACTGAAGCACAACTCCCTGTAGGTTGTGTGATCACCAGGAAATAGATTGCACCAGCCTGCTCCACAGGCAGTCCAAAAGGAGATCTGGCGCTTGGAAAGACACAGGGTAAGTGTAGACAACTATGAGCTAGCAAGACTGGTGGTCTAACCCAGCAGAGGGCAATTTTGTATCTTAATCTCTCTCTAAGTGACCTGGAGGACACTCTTACTCTGTTAACTTTAATTAACATGACCTTTGTTTTCTGTATATGTATGCAAAATTATATTTAAGATTGCAACTCCTAGTATATCCCAGTTGGCAGGAACAGCTTGGAAATTTTGGTCCCCAAAATAGCCTTTTCCCGTTTCTACGTTACATTGGCCAAAATCCTGTTTATTTTTTCCCAAGCACAAAGTGCTGTTGTATGTGTGGTTGTCTTTTTACATCAGTTGTACAAAAGAGTATTTATATCCTGCTTCTTTAGATTGCACAGGACAGTTTGCCTAGGCAAGCCAACATTTGTGCAAACATGCAGAGGAGGGAAGAATGAAATATAATGGACATGGAAAACATTATTTGGTCATTGCTCATGCAGCATGTGGATAACCGGCATAAGTCATTAAGAAGTCTTTGGGAGTGATAGATAGACATTTAGTAGTCACTGTTAGGAGCCTTTCAAAGATCATGGGCATGTGACAAGCACAGGTAAGCAGACTAGCACATATTAACTATGGAGAGAAGTCTTTGTTTAAGGTAAGTTTAATGGCAGAATTTGGGGCACAGTTAATCCAGAGGTAGAAGGAAAAGAATGTGGAATTGTCCAGACAATTCTCATAAAATTTAAAATGATTAGATAGTAATGTAGGCAAAACTCCAACAATGAGGTGGTTGACAGATTAAAAGCCCCCATCAAACCGATATAACCTTTTAAATTACTTTGAAACTGATTTGCTTAATTTCAGACCCACTGTTACGAGATTATTGGGTGTATGAAGGCTCCCTCACGGTTCCACCCTGCAGTGAAGGTGTTACTTGGATCTTATTTAGATATCCTTTAACTGTATCCCAACTTCAGGTGAGAACTCTGCTTATAATAATGTAAGAATATAATTCTCAGTGAAAGGTTATGGTGTGCAAATATATTACAGGGCACTGCACTTCTTTTATGCCAAAGAGCTCACTAAATCATTTGGTACATGGCTTTTGAAATAAAGGCTAAATCCTTTGTGTCACGGAAAGCAATGGAAAGGTCAGAAATGAGAAAATGCTTTACTATTTATCCTGTGTATTAAGGGAAAATGGATTTACCAGAAAATAATACAGAAGATAAAAATATCACTGAGGAAAAAAAATCTGCAGTTCATTGAAATACGTCTTTAAGTAATCACTGCTATGCATATGAACAGAGGCACACAATAGCTCTCCTCATTTATTCAGGATATGAATACAGAATGCCTGGAGGAGTTCTGAGGAATCTGCCAGCTAGGCCCAATCGAGGTATCAGTTGTATTCCCTTACTCTATTCCTTGGCTACTGAAGGGGCCAATGCTTGTATGGCTTCTTCCATTGGAATGTGAGCAGTGGTTTGTGACCCTCTGAGGAACGTGTCTATATGGACACATGCTCCCTTTACAGTGATGCTGGGTGGGGCAGGGGGAACATTTGGGGTAATGCTAGCCTGCACATTCTCACAAACCCCTTCACATGGATTGTATCCACAGACACCGATAGCCTGAATAACACTGCAGAGACTCCAGGTTCTGAGCAGTGAAGAATATTATTACTTTTATCTGTGCTTGACTCATGTATTTCTTCTTTATTTATTTGCATTTGCTTAAAATGTACGGTATATTCAGCTAAATGGAAATATGCTGCATCGGATTAGGCATCCCCGCTTGATTTGCTATAGATTGATACATGAATGGACTCAGCTGAAAATTATTTCAGTTGAAGTAGTACAAAAACCCTTTCCAAAGTGGCCCGTTCCCATGCAGTCCATTATTGCCTTATGCCACAGTAACTGTATTTCCCTAATTAGAATCCACCCAGGACAGAGTCCAGTGTTCCGAAAGCTGCAATTTATGCTACTTGCCCATCTAAGAATGCTAAAGGAATACCAGTCTTGATATTGGGCAATGTCAGGGTTTCCCCACTGTAGCAGAGATCAAATTCAAAATGCAGAATTCCCAGAGGTGGTAGGCAATGATGGGTCATTGCCTACCACCTTCTTTTGCCAGTGTCTGCTGTTTGTGTCTTGATAATAAAATGATCTTAATTTATTGTGCATAATAAAAAAAAGAAAGAATGAGAAACCTTTGTCCCATCTCCAACTCACAGAATTCCTGGACAGTATAGCTTGCTGGCTTTGCTCCTACAAGACATGGTGGGTGGATCAATGCCTGATCTCTAGTGCTGCAACCAGGTGCCCCATTTCACTGAGCTACAGCCAGATTAAAAGACCTTTTTACATCAGGTCAGCTTAACTACCAAAGACCTGGCAGAATAAAAAGTCTATTGCCAGAAGGACAAAAAAGAAGGGCCAGCTTAACCTTCCTTACGAGGAGACTGAAAATGCTTTCAGCAGAGTGATGTGAAGCAACTCTCCTTGCCACAGGATATGGTGATGGTATCTGGCCTAGATGCCTTTAAAAGGGAATTGGACAGATTCCTGGAGGAAAAGCCCATCACAGGTTACAAGCCTTGATGGGGATGTGTAATTTCCAGGCTTAAAAGGAAGGTACCTCAAAATGCCAGATGCAGAGAAAGGGTATCAGGAGACAGATACCTAGTTGTCTCATGTGCTCCCAGAGGCATCTGGTGGGGCCACTGTGAGATACAGGAAGCTGGACTAGATGGGGCCTTGGCCTGATCCTCAGGAATCATCATATGTTCTTATGTTCTTAATGTTTCGTTATTTCCAACACAAAATTGGTTCATTCTTGGTAAGGCACTGCCAGACATTTTGTTAGGTGATGTGAAGCAATCAGCTCAAATGGTAGTTTCTGGGTGTCAGAAAACCCCAAAAATGTTGGAGAAGGGAACCCTGGGCCAGGTGACCTGCCTACACCACCCAATGCCTTTAGGTGTAGTGAAATATGCTGTTCCATAGGCAGTGCTGAAGACAGATTTAACTGTCAGCACATACAGCTTTTGTACATAGAATGGACGAGGGCATTGCTTTATTCTTTGGGCACAAATTGTTTTAAAAAGCCGACAAGAGACCCACTCTCAGTCTCTTGAAGCAGCAGCAAGTGGAAGCAGGTAAGGATAGCCGTTCATCTCACTACTTCTTACACTCTAGCACTATTCAGAAATACTGGAACTGGGAGAGGACCATTTTATTTATCCTATTTCTACCTGCTTATGTCTGTGGAAACCTTTGGAGTATGCTAGAGAAACTACTTCTTCCAAAATTCGAATACCATCAAACTATTAGTGCCGTTTCAGTTCTTTGAAGAGTGTCATCTTTCTATACAATACTCAAGCTCCTGTCTGCACTTCGCTTCTTAGGGATGCTTTGGTTTCTAATGTGTTTGTTTTTGAATTCCAGTTACTGTGTATAAAACTAATTGCCATCTTCACAATATGAAGACTTCTTTTTAAGTCCTCTTCCAAGAACCTTCTAATCCCATACCTCAATTCCTTCTTTTCATCTTTTCAGTATAAGCTGCACCATTCTGCTTTTCAAAGCTGAAAAGAAAACAATGTGGATTTCAAAACACTACTGCAAAGAACAAAAGTCTTAGCAACAGATTTCTGGTTGTTCATCAAATAAGCAAACATCATGTAAGAAGTCAGTTTTGACTGCTTCAAAGTACATGGTGCTAGAAACCACAACAATAGTTTCTCATCTGAAATGCTATTGAGAAATGTAACCTTGGAAGTTGTTATTAAAGCATCAGTTCTGTCAAAGCCCATCAAATGTGTTAGTCTGAGGGGAAAAAAAAACCTTGAGTTGAATTTGGTTTTACAGTGGAGCTTGGAGCATCATTTTTAAGAAAAGTAAATATCATGACATTCTGAAACCATCTGTAACTTAGAAATGGTAAGATGATGACCAATCAACCAAACAATCACCAAATAAAAGCAGGCTTAATGGTGGCTTGAGGAACTGCAGAACCTTATCCTAGGATAAGCAAAAACCTTTTTCTTATAAGGTAGCTCTGTTTCTAACCATGGGTGCAATCAGATAGCTGGAAGGGTCTGTGTCCAATCACACTGGAAAAGGGTGACTTTGCAGGGAGTGATGTCTGCTGGGGAATCACTCCAGCTTGGCCACAAAAAGCTGTAGCCCTATGGCTGGACCCAAAAGGCATGGCGTGGATGCGGGTTGGACTGAAGCACAACTCCCTGTAGGTTGTGTGATCACCAGGAAATAGATTGCACCAGCCTGCTCCACAGGCAGTCCAAAAGGAGATCTGGCGCTTGGAAAGACACAGGGTAAGTGTAGACAACTATGAGCTAGCAAGACTGGTGGTCTAACCCAGCAGAGGGCAATTTTGTATCTTAATCTCTCTCTAAGTGACCTGGAGGACACTCTTACTCTGTTAACTTTAATTAACATGACCTTTGTTTTCTGTATATGTATGCAAAATTATATTTAAGATTGCAACTCCTAGTATATCCCAGTTGGCAGGAACAGCTTGGAAATTTTGGTCCCCAAAATAGCCTTTTCCCGTTTCTACGTTACATTGGCCAAAATCCTGTTTATTTTTTCCCAAGCACAAAGTGCTGTTGTATGTGTGGTTGTCTTTTTACATCAGTTGTACAAAAGAGTATTGGCTATCTCCTTACACATGTTTAAACCCTATTGTTTTCAACAGACTGGAGAAGTGTAAACTGGAGGTTGTTTTTAGCCATTGTGGAGTGCTCCTCCTGCAGAGCAGTTGTGCTGTGCAAATTCTAATAGGATTCTGGCCATTATATATATTTAAAAGGTTCTGGATTTGAGTTTCTAATAAGTTTTTTTTAAACATATGTATATCATCAACAGTGAAATGGTGAGATGATGTTAAATAAACAGAGGCAAAAATGAACAGTATGCCAAATAAAGTTTTTCTTGCTATTAAATCATTCACTGAGGTATTTAAATGACTGTTCCCTTGCTTTATCAGATAGAAGAGTTTCGAAGGCTGAGGACACATGTTAAAGGGGCAGAACTTCTAGAAGGCTGTGATGGAATTTTAGGAGATAACTTCAGGCCAACCCAGCCACTTAGCGACAGAGTCATAAGGGCTGCCTTCCAGTGGTAGAGACAAATGGTGAAAACAATAATAATGTAGGTAAGTCCATGCATTTTATTTTAAAGCAAAACACTGAATAGTGTAGAGTAGAAGGTCTTTGATAATTCTGATTTTTTTTCAGGCAGTGGTTTCTTTTGGTGGAGAATGCTATGGGAACTGATGACATTTTCATAGAAATAAAATAAAATAAAAACTACCATGTGCAGATTTCCAGTCTGATGAGGAACTATCATTCTTTTTATTTATATCTGTACTGTCATAATCCATGTGCAGCTCTGGATGAGATGAGATGAGATGCTGGAGAACCATAACTAGATCCCTCTATATAGGTCACTCACTATTTCCCTGTTCAGGTGCACTTAAACTGTTAAAGCCTAAATGTACAGGAACTCTGTTCTGCTTTGCATCTCATTCCTTGGACAGTGGAGGAAAAATATGGACTTGAACAGTGGCAGCACAAGTTATCCTTCCACCCTGAGATGGGAAATAGCAGCGCCACCTATTGCCACTCTCCTTCTGCTAAATACCACTAGACTTTGTGTTCAGAGATGTAGAGTGGATAGACTGAGTCTCCAGAGATACCTCACCAACAATGTTATAGCAGCATCCAGTGGCCCTCACAGCCTGACATTGACAGCCAGTCAGTTTTTAAGCGTCTACCTGCCTGATGCTTCAATTCTGACACTATTTTGTCAGAGTCAGTCATCAGAAGGGCAGCTGTTCCAGCTTACTGGCTGTTCTGCTGTGGCATCTGTCACACTCAAGGGCTAGTAGGTCTCTGTTAGTGAGGTGACAGCGCAGCACCTCCCAAAATGGAGGGAGGTAATTCATTGCTACACCATTTCACTACTTATCATGACTCATGAGAAAGTGATCCCTAGGAATGTGTAGTTAAATTGTAAAAGTTGATCTTGAAAACACAGCAGACTGCCTGTGTGGCCCAGAGCAATGGACCACTGCCCTCCCTTTTATGCATCTTTGCTTATTTGTTTGTATGCAGGCAACCTGTAGTCCTCTCAAGATCCACTTTTACTATTTTGCTAAACATCCACTTTTATCTACTGTGCTGAAATTCACTTATATAATACTCTTCTGTTATCCCAAAGTACAATTCCTTTATTGTTGAAAAGGGTGATTTAATGTGTGTCTAGAATGTTGCACAGGATTTACTTGACTGGAGCATCACAGACTTATGCATTTTATTTGTCTGAGATTGAATAATGTCCTGAGGCCATTGTCAGTAATTCAAATTCTAGCAACATTGAAGTTATTTGACAACAAGAGGCAAACTTTAAGCATGCAAGATCTACTCTTAAAACATATTGATCTTAGGTGGCAAAACTATTTCTAGACAACAAGTTGGTTACCTTAGGCATAGTTTATTTAAACCATACACTTTAGAAACTTCATAATAGAACAGAAAATATGCTGGTCTTAGGAAAAAAGTGTGGTATAATTATTGTACCTACCTACCTACCTCCCCTTCAGGGATTGCTGCCTTGTTGTGGCGAAGGGGCTTGAGTAATTCAGAGAAGTTATGGTCTATGCCATCCAGGGACACCCAAGACAGACAAGTCATAGTGGAGAGTTCTGACTAAATGCAATCTACCTGGAGCAGGAACTGGAAAACCACTCCAGTATCTTTGCCAAGAAAACTCCATGAACAGAAACAAAAGGCTAAAAGATATGATGCTGGAACATGAGCCCCTCAGGTCGGAGGGTGTCCAAAATGCTACTGAGGAAGAGCAGATGACAAGTACAAGTAGCTCCAGAGCTAATGAAGTGGTTGGGCCAAAGCTGAAAGGACGCTCAGCTGCGGACGCACCTAGAAGTGAAAGAAAAGTCCGATACTGCAAAGAAAAATACTGCATAGGAACCTGGAATGTAAGATCTATGAATTTGGTAAATTGGATGTGGTCAAACAGGAGATGGCAAGAATAAACATCGACATCCTGGGCATCAGTGAACTAAAATGGATGGGAATGGGCGAATTCAATTCAGATGATTATCATATCTACAATTGCAGGCAAGAATCCCATAGAAAAAAGTGGAATAGCCCTCACAGTCCACGAAAGAGTGGGAGAATCTGTACTGGATACAATCTCAAAAATGTTTAAATGATTTCAATATGAATCCAAGGCAGACCTTTCAACATCACAGTAATCCAAGTTTACGCACCAACCACTGATGCTGAAGAGGCTGAAATTGACCAATTCAATGAAGACTTACAACACCTACTAGTACTGATACCAAGGAAAGATGTTCTTCTCATTATAGAGAATTGAAATGCTAAAGTGAAGTTTGGCCTAGGAGTTCAAAACGAAGCAGGGCAAAGGCTAATAGAGTTTTGTGAAGAGATCAAGCTGCTCATCACAAACACTCTTTTCCAACAACACAAGAGGTGACTCTACAGATAGATAGAAAAATCAACTTCTAGAGAGTTGTTCACATGAAATGGACTTGCACACTGAGGTATCAGCTTGGGTATGGAACAGTAGGCCCACGTGTATCAGCCTCATTCTGATGATGATGAACCTGTTGCTCACATTTCTGTGCCAGCCCTTTCATTAAAGGCTAATTCCACTAGTCCAGTGGTAGAGACAGGATTAGCATATGTAGTCCTGGTCCCTTTTCATATACTGATTACATAGTGCATTTCTCTCAAATACTCCTTAGCTGCCTTCCTACCATTTCCCATGTAAACTATTCAGTTGATCTAAAATTAAACAAAGTACAGTGGTACCCCGCATAGCGACGATAATCCATTCCAAAAAAATCGTCGCTATGTGGATTCGTCGCTATGCGGGGCAAAAAAGTCCATAGGAACATGTTTAATGCGTTCCTACGGGCACAAAACTCACCGTTATGCAGAAATCCTCCATGCGGCCACCATTTTCGCTGGCCAGTAAGCGAGGAAAGGGAGCGAAAATACAGCGGGCGGCCATTTTCTTCACCCCGCGGCCATTTTGGAACCGCCGATCAGCTGTTCTTAAAACATCGTTATGCGATAATTGGTAAGCGAAACACTTACCGATCATCGCAAAGCGATGTTTTCCCATTTAATACATTGTTATGCGATTGCTTTCTGCGATCGCAAAAACTCAATCGCTATGCAGATTCGTCATTAAACGAATCGCTCATTAGGCGGGGCACCACTGTACTTTCTCAGTTAAGGAAAGTTGAATTATATTAAGGTCAATCCAATTGCTGGTTCCAAGTAGAGCACTAAATCAATGAGAACCACATATCTGTTTACTTTAAAAGTCTCTTTCATTCAATAGGTCTACCCCAATTGGGATTAACTGTTAATTCTAATTTAAATCAATAGCAAGAGCTTACAACTCAGAAAGATTAGGTATCTAGGTTACGTTATGTAGATGTTTAATAATGAACAGGAAGAGTTCTACAAAATAGGTGACATTGAGAAACTGATTGCCAGTATGCACCAACTGATGCAGTGACTGATTGGCCGAAACCCTACTGCACTTGCTGTAGCGTAAAGTTATGCCTGTGGAAATTCACAGCGAGTGGGGCCCAGGGAGTCTCTATGCTTGATTGTACAACTATGCTTGCAGAGGTGCTCTTGGATATGACTTCCACCTTGGTGAAAACTTTGTAACAGCTTGTGCAATGTCAAGTTACTCAGGTGTAGCTACACAACAGGATTTTATCCATCAATCGAGAAAGATACAGAATTTGTCTCATGATTATTCTGAAGATCCCATTGATAGTAACCTGGAGTCAAGGGAATCTGCCCTGGAGATCTTATAAGCCCTGGTCCAGACTAGCATCTGAATTCCTGGTGATTTTGTAGTACCTCAAAGATATTTGCTTACCTAGATCCTAGTGAATCAGATAATCCTGGCAGGGAATGTGAACTCTTTTCTGAATCAATATGTTGACTTGCCCAATGCTGTGGGTTTTGTTTTGTTTTTGTTTTTGTAGGCCCCCAACTGAGAAAACAGAAGGTTTGACACGATGTCCTTCATTCATCAATGTTACAGAACCAGGATGCAATCTAGAACCTTGTCTCTTTAGTTCCTTACCATTCTTTGTAAATAATATAACATCAGCTGCTCTTAAGCGGCTTTGAAATTGCACTAAGTGCTCAAATGAATTTGAGCCTTTATCAGAGCAAAGTTTGTTATTTTCTTGGAGCTGACCTAGGTTATGTTCACCATAACCTACATTTTGGTATCTGCTATACTACTCTGTTAATTCAGATGACTTCCTACTCTTTTACCTGATGCTAGTGGTCTTATCCAACTGTCAGACATCTAGGCCTAGCCCATCTGGAACAGGATAGTCTGTTACTGGTTCATTATACTGTGTGCAAATTCTTTTTTTCTGGAAGAGTTCAGAAATTATAAAGTTTATTTGGATTTGAAGGGCTTCTCCGAAAGGAAAAGTCCAATACAATATTATACCCATCTCAAATGTGAACTCATTTCTGTTCTCTGTTCTGTGTACTCTACTTCTCCATGTCTAAATACAGGAAGAAGTGGAAGATAACTTCAGGTGCGTATTGCCATATCAAAAGAGGGGGATCTTATGGTCTGAATACACAATCACCATGTTTTTGTTACACTCCAGAGGTTTGGGAACCTGGTTCTGTCAGTTTATAGTGCCTTGCTGAGCCTTTTCTCCCTGTAGCACTTTTGCATTGTTTTAAAACTTGATACCTCACTCCCCACACTCATCACCAAATAATTTATGACTGCCTAATAGCTTCAACGCACATGAGGCTTTGGTTGCTGTTTTTATGGGACAGACCTGAACTAAAATTTTAGGGGAACTCTCAAAGCAAATTACTGAATTAGCATTTCTTCCCCTGGTAAGTACCTGTGTCAAAACCTTTTGTAAAGGTGGAGAAGCTGGTTCTAAGGGTTACAGCATGATACAAAGTTTCTCTGTAAAGGTGCTTACATGTTATGTTATACTTTTTCTAATATTTTGTTCCATTATTCCAAAAATTTTCTAACACTATAAGGATTATTCATATGTTACATACAAATATATATAAAAGTGGTTGCAGTATCATGCTTACATGCTTTCCCATGCTAATCATCTATGTTTATGAAGTACAGTGGTGCCTCGCAAGATGAAATTTATCTGTTCCATGGTTAATGCCGTCTAGCGAAAGTTTTGTCTTGCAAGGCATGGTTTCCCATAGGAATGCATTGAAATTTAATTAATGCATTCCTATGGGGGAAAAAGTCCAAAACAAAACAAAAAAAATAAAATAAATCACTTACCTGTAGACTATAGACTGAGCCCAGCTCCTCACACTGTCTTGGTAGCCCCAGAACAGCAGGAAAAAGAGCACCAAACAGCTCAGAGCTGGCACCCAGCAGGGAGCCGGCAGCCATTTTGTGCTGTTCTCTGCTCCAGCCCCTCCCCCACCCCACCTCACAGCTGATCGGTGCTGGGTCTTAGAAGCTTCCCTGGGCTTGCCCAGCAGGTAAACAGGCAGTGGAAGTGCACCAGGGAATCCTCTGAAAGCGGTGCTTTCCTGATGGTGGGTGGGTGGTAGGGGCAGGCCCGCCACCCCCCCGTG